AACCCGCGGGCTCAGGCAATCCACTCACCTCAGCCTCCCAAGGCGTGGGATTACAGGCTGAGCCACCTAGCCCGGCTTTTCTCTCTCTTTTTAAGTCTGTTTAGACCTGGGTTTCTGTATAAGATACTGAGTACTAGAAACTTCTAAGTAAAGAGGAAATGACAGAGGGTCTCATTTGGAAGTACTATGTCCTTTCCTAATAAGAGAAGATTCAACTTTTGAGTTGTAAGACTCCCCTTGACTTCCTTGGGGGCTGTTGGACAGACTCAGGGGAAGAGGTCCTCCCAAAGAAGCTGATTGTGTAGGCCGATAAGGGGGACTAGGAACCAGCCCCCAGTTAGGAGGTGAGGATGGACTGTTCTGGATGGAACAGTCCATGTGTGTTTCTGTTTGTCTGTTTAGGACAGGGATTCCTTACAGGAGTCTGTGGAGGGCCTCTGACATTGTAACAGTGTGTGATGTGAAGGCTTATTGTTCTGGTCGGTGTCTGAGGCTTCCTGAGCCTGGCTCAGAGGAGGGCTTGTCTGAGGGCTGGTTTTCAAAGACCCTGGTCTCGCATGCCCTCAACCCAGATGCGTGGAGACCTACTCACGAGAGTCCTCCTCCCATTGGTTTCTCCTCCCAAGAACCAGCCTCTCCCAGGAACCCTGGGAAGCACTTCAGAGAAGCTAGGAAAATGGAGGAGGGACAGAGGCCCATGGACGAAATGTCCTTGAATGACACCCAGTGAGAAACAGTCACCTGGCCACTAGGGGGCCTGATGTGAGAACGTCTCATACTGGGTGGGGTGGAGGCTGTTACACCCTGGGACTGGCAGCATCCGGTCCAAACCCACCTCAGGGGCCCTCGTCCTTGTCTGCCAGGCTGTGGTTCTGGTCCTGGGCTTGGAACCTAAAGGATACTTCCTCTGTCACTTGGTGGCAAAGCACTAGGCTTCCATAGTCCCCGTGTCCAGGCGGAGTGGGAGCATCACCAACCACATCACGAAGGGGCCTGAAGCCAATTCTTGCCTCATTAGATAGGCAGCCAGCTCCCCCACCATCAAAGAGGGGCTAGCTGGAAACTGAATTTGCCATGTGTATCTGTTGTGACCAGCACACTTATATCGGGTGCCAGTGATAGTCATCAGAGACCAGAGCAACCCAGAGTGGGGGAACCACAGGGTCAAAAAGACTGCCAGCACTCAAGCCCCTGAGGGCTTTTGAAGCATGTCAAGCCCTCTAGTGTGTCCCCAGTTCTGCAGACTGACCCAGGTCTTCTATCCCACCCACCAGACCCCCAGCCTGGGCCACTGTCTCTTCCCTCCCCTTCCCCTGGGAGCAGGGATCCAGGCTCCTGATAGGGCTGACTGGCCTATCTCAGAGCAAGAGAAAGAGGCATCCTGGGGTCCCCCATCCCAGATCATTGGGTGTTGTACCACCTTCCCAAGTTCACTTACCTTTCTCAATGTTGAACGAGGTAGCCACGAAGGACAGAGCACAGTGCTCGCAGAATGCCCAGGGATGTTCGCTTGTCGCTGGCCCTCTGCTACTCAGGGCCTTGGCATCAGTTACTGAAGCGCCTGAGGTGACAGCTGGAGTTTCTAAGGCAAAGTGATCCTCTGAGTAACCTGAGAAGGCCTCAGTTACCAGCAGGATGGCTGGACAGCTTGGCCAGGACCCAGGCTGACTGGCCCCCACTGGCTCGGTCCTGGGGGGCAAGCAAAGGTCCTCAGGCAGAAGCGAAGACTGGCCAGGGCTGGGACCATTCACGAGGTCCCAGAGCTGAGCAGGTGGGTCAGGAGGATTCAATGGGGTCATTTTGGAGTGGGGGTGTGTCACTTGGCTCAGTGGGACCAGTGATGGTGGAGGGGACTGTGAGCCAGTCCCCACAAAGAGCAACACAATGGGAACCCCACGGGCTAGGCTTATTGGCAGGAGAAGGAGAGAGCCAGGGCAGAACAAATTATTTGACTGGGGGAAAAGTGATTTTAGAAATGAATCCATAAAACTAAAAGCAAAAGGAACTGCACATATCACTGTACTCTACTCAGTAAAGTTTTCCATAGGATACAGGTTAACAATTCTGAAATCACACTATCCATGCATGCCAGAATTGAGCAGTTAAGTAAGTGGATAGTAGAAGCCAGGTTTCTCCCTCCTGAGTGGGAGGTTATAGATGAGCAACTGTGAGACAGCTAGAATGATCCATGTGGTACTGGGTTAGAGTTGGGCGCGTCAGTATGAACTCATGTTTAGATTAATATAGATACAGATGGATACATAGAAAAATCTTTACAGTTTTATGTCTATGTATGCACACATGTCTGCTGGCTCTGTCAGCCGAAAGGGTGTAAGCAAAGATACCCCGGTACCCAGGTCTTGATTTTTAGACTCATTTTCTAATAAAAGGAGCCCAGGCTCCTTGGAGAAATGCCTGATTCTAGGTCTGGGACTGGGAATATACAAAATGAGCCTGGAGCATCATCTAGTGCCAGAAAGTAAAGAAGTGCTAAACACAAGCACACAGTGATGGGACTTATCAAAGGGACACAGGAACCAACTGAAAGTGCCCCCATTGGCCAAAGCTGGAGCAATTTGAGAAACAAAATAAATGATTTTGAATGATAACCCCAAATACAAAATAAGTGCCTATGAATTTATATGATATAAATAGATACTTGATTAAATAAATACATGAAAGGAAGAGACAAATCTCCCCTATTTATGGATTCTAAATAACGTACGTACCTACTTCCCATGGAGGAGGTGAAGCATAGCTTTGCACACTTAAGTGTGGGCTGCACAGAGTGACTTTCTTCCAAAGAGTCCAGTAGAAAGGGGTGGAAATAGAGGAAGAGTATCGTCATAGCAGAGAAACCTGACAAACATTCTCTCATCAGCTGATCAAGGGCAACATCAACAGTGACAAATTATGTGGGTAGTATGTAGCCTTGACTTGATGTGATGGGAATGATATTTTTCCTCCTCTCCCCCAAACCCATAACCAGTCTAACTATGAGAAAAATAGTAGAGAATCTCAGTTGAGGGACATTTTATAAAATATATGACTCTTTAAAACCATCAATAATATCAAGGCTGAGCGTGGTGACTCGCGCCTGAAATACCAGTGCTTTAGGAGGCTGAGGCAGGAGGATCACTTGAGCCCAGGAGTTCCGGGCTGCAGTGAACTATTAATGTGATCATGCCACTGCACTTCAGCCTGGGCAATGGAGTAAGACCCTGACTCAAAAAAAAAAAAATCATCAAAATCAAGGAAAGTATGAGAAACTGTCACAGATTGAAAGAGCCTAAAGAGACAAGATAACTAAATGCAATATGGTCTGCTGCATGGGATTCTGTAACAGAAAGAGAGGTTTAGGGAAAATTAGCTGATACTAATGGATCAATTTTGATTCAGTAGTTGGGACAAATGTACCATAATAAAGTAAGATAACAATAGAACAAATTGGCTATGGGGTATATGAGAAGTTCGTACTATTTTACAACTTTTCTATAAATCTACCATTAGGCCAGGTGCTGTGGCTCACACCTGTAATCCCAGCACTTTGGGAGGCCAAGGCTGGAAGAGTGCTTGGGCCCGGGAGTTCAAGACCAGCCTGGGCAACACAGCAAGACCACGTCTCCACAAAATAAACAAACAAACAAACAATCAATTAATAATTGCATAAATCTACAATTATACTAAAATTAAAAATTTATTTTAAAATCTTTTCAGGGCATGGGGAGGGGGACCATATAGACCAGTAGCTATTCCTAATGATCACCATGATTGAATGGGATGCTTTCCAGAATTTGCTTTACCCAGATGCGAGTGTGTGTGTGTGTGTGTGTGTGTGAGAGAGAGAGAGAGAGAGAGAGAAAGAGAGAGAGAGAGAGGTGTCTATATGTGTTTTCTCATCTAGTATATGTTGCAAACTCTCTGCTGGGGAGCTTAAGGTATATCCTCACTGAAAAAGTTACAGTGAGTGAACAAGAGTGTTTCTGAGCCTGATGGAAAAGTGTCTGGTGTTGTAACAGAATACACCTTAGATCACAGCTCCCCGTGCTTAACGGCCTGCTTAATTGTGCTGCATGGTGATTAGACATAGACAGCAGCAGTCACGTGGATGACTTGGCATGCTCTTTTGTCTCCTTGCATTAACAAACTGATGCCTCTCAGGATGGTAAAAAAAAAAGGAGTTACTTGACACTGCTGATGGGTATATAAGATGGTACAACCGTTATGGAAAACCGTTTGGCAGTTTCTTCAAAAGTTACGACCCACTTGTCTTAGTCCATTTGGGTGCTGTAACAAAAATGCTGGGCAATTTATAAATAATAGAAAACGATTGCTCACAGTTCTGGTGGCTGAGAAGCTTAGGATGGATCAAGGTACCAGCAGATTCAGTGTCTGGTGAGGGCCCCTTCCTCATGCATGGCAACTTTTATGTGTCCACACATGGCAAAAGGAACAAGCAGCCTCCCTCAGGGGTGCTAATCCCACTCATGAGAGCAGAGCCTCTGTGACTCAATCATCTCCAAGGCCCCACCTCCTAGTATTATCACATTGGGAGTTACATTTCAACATATGAATTTTGAGGATCACAGCACTACCCCTTCCACTTGTTCTAGCTCAGGCTGCCATAACAAAATACTGTAGGCCAGGTGACTTGAACAGCAGATATTTATTTGCTCAGTCTTGGAGGCTGGAGGGCCATGATCAAGGTACCCACCAAATAGGTTCCTGGTAAGGGCTCACTTCTTGGTTTGCAGACTGCCACCTTCTCATTGTGTCCTCAACAGTCTCTTCTTTGTGTGCCCTTGAAAGAGAATAAGTGAACTTTTAGGTGTCACTTTTTTTTTGAGTCAGGGTCTCACTCTGTCGCTCAGGATGGAGTGGAGTAGCATGATTGCGGCTGCCACAGCCTCGACCTGCTGGGCTCAGGCGATCCTTCTGCCTCAGCCTTCCAAGTAACTGAGACTACTGGTATGTGCCACCATGCCTGGCTAATTTTTTTTTAAATTGTAGAGACGAGATCTTGCCAGTTGCCCAGGCTGGTGTCACTTCTGATAAGGACACATCCTATCAGATCAGAGTCACACCTCGGTTATGACTTCAGTTAACCTTAATCACTTCCTTAGAGGCCCCATCTCCAAATATAGAATTATAGCACACCCAGCTGGAGTCTGTTGGAGCATTGCTTGGTGTATAGGGACCCGGGCCCCTCATTCTGGTGTCAGATGTCTGTACTGAGTGTTGTCTTGGGTGTGAGAGCAGGTGAAACCTTTTGGGTTGTCCAATCTCTTACATCCGTCTTTCAGCCCTCAGGAAGACGCTGTGTCCAAAGCTCTTTCTATCGCCTACAGAAGACAGCACCTTGCTGCATTCCCAGCCTGACAACCTTCCATACATGTTCCACCTTCTTGCAAGCAGGTGGAGGGAGGGAAGCCGGGTCCAGGCCAGTGAAGTTTACTAAGGATGTCTGTAGGTATGGAAAACCCTTTGACACCCTTGGTGCCGCTGAGACTCCTCTCTTCATTTTATACCCCAGATTCAAACATCAGCAGGTCCTATGGACTCTACCTCCTACTTTCAGATTAAAACCAGAACTCACCCAGCTTGTCTCCTTTTCCAGGGTCGCAGCCCTGGTCCAAGCTGCCGGCATCCCTCTCCTGAATTGGATCCACCGCTTCCTCGCAGGTTGTCCCTTGCCCCTAGTGGTCTGTTGTCAACACAGCAGCCAGGAGGAGCAGTTTGAAGGAAAGACAGATCTGTGGCCACCACTTAAGTCCTTTCGTGATCTGTGAGATTGATCAGGTGCTGCACCTCTCTCGCTTTCCCCCCTTCCTTGCTCATTCCTTGCACAGGTCAGGCATATTTCCACCTCAGGGCATTTGCACTAGCTCTTCCCTCTGCCCAGACCATTTCCCCCTGCATGTCTGCATGTCTCCTCCCTTCCCCTCTCACAGTCTCTGTTTAGATGTTGCCTGATCTGTGTGTCTCCTTCTAGCCCTCCTCTGCTCCATTCCTCTTCTTTCTTCTCCTTCTCCTCCTCCTTGTCCTCCTTCCTTCTTTTTGAGCCAGGGCCTCACTCTGTTGCCCAAGCTGGAGTGCAGTGGCACAATCATGGCTCATTGCAGCCTTGACATCATAAGGCTTCCACCTCAGCTTCCCAAGTAGCTGAGATGACAAGTGCACACCACCACACCTGGCTAATTTATATATTATATATATTTTTTGTAGAGAGGCAGTCTCACTATGTTGCCTGGGCTGGTCTCAAACTCCTGGGCTCAAGCAATCCTCCTGCCTCAGCCTCCCAAAGTTCTGGGATCACAGGTGTGAGCTTCTGCACTTGGCCTTTCCCTTGTTTTCAGTTTTTTCATAGTACTTACCACCTGACGTACCAAGTATCCTACTGACTCATCCTGTTTATTTTTTTAATCTTAATTTTTTTTTGAGTCTGAGTCTCACTCTGTTGCCCAGGCTGGAGTGCAGTGGCACAATCATGCCTCACCGCAGCCTTGACATCCTGGGCTCAGGCAATCCTTCCACCTCAGCCTCCTGAGTAGCTGGGACTACAAGCACATACCATCATGCCCAGCTAATTTTTTTAATTTTTTGTAGAGATGAGGCCTCACTGTGCTGGCCAGGCTGCTCTCGAACTCTTAGGCTCACGCACTCTTTCTGCCTTGGCCTTCTGAGTAACTGGGATTACAGGTGGGAACCACCACGCTCTTGGCACATCTTGTCTATTTTCTGCTTCCATTCATTAGAGTGCAAGCTCCAGGACAGGTTTTTCTTTATGTTTTATTCATCACTTTGTCTGTAGTACCTAGAACAGTGCTTGGCACATTGTGGGTCCCTAATAAATATATATATATATATATATATTTTTTTTTTATTTTGAGTTGGAATCTCGCTCCGCTGTCCAGGCTGGAGTGGACACTCTCATGGCACTCTCATGGTCACCCAAGCATCGACCTGCTGGGCTCCAGTGATCCTTCCGTCTCAGCCTTCCAAGTAGCTGGAACTGCAGGCATGGGCTACCATGCCTGGCTAATTTTTGATTTATTGTAGAGACGAGGTCTCGCCAAGTTGCCCAGGCTGGTCTCAAACCCGTGGGCTCAGGCAATCCACTCGCCTCCACCTCCCAAAGTACTGAGATTACGGGTTGAGCCACCACGCCTAGCCCCTCTGTAAACTTAAAATAATCTCCAAGGCAGGCTCCAGTGTGTCACATGGTGAGCAATATTTTGTGATGATTAGTATGGTCACTAGTATCATCATGCGCTTTGATAACTCAACTATGTTCCCCAAAGCTGGAAACTTTTTCAAAATAAATTTTTTGTTTTAGAGTACAGCAGTTTTCGATTTACATTCCCCTGTGGAAGGATATCTTGGTTGCTTCCACTTTGGGGCAATTAGGAATAAATCTGCTGAAAACATTTACATACAGACTTTTGGTTAGACATAAGTTTTCAAATCAGTTGGGTAAATACCTAGGAGCATGATTGCTGGATCATATGGTAAGTCTATGTTTAGCTCTGTAAGAAGCTGCCAAACTGTCTCTAAAGTGGTTGTATCATTTTACGTTCCCACCAGCTGCTCGACATCTTCGAAGGCAATTGGTATTGTTAGGATTTTGGGTGGGTGGGATTCTAGCCCGCTAATAGATATGTAGTGGCATCTCACTGATGTGTTAATTTGTATTTTCCTAATGTAAAATGATTTTGAGCATTTTTTCTTTCTTCCTTTCCTTCTTTCTTTCTTTCTTTTTTTTTTTGAGTTGGAGTCTCACTCTGTTGCACAGGCTGGAGTGCAGTGGCATGCTCACGGCTACCCCAGCCTTGACCTTCTGGGCTCAGATGATCTTTCCGCCTCAGCCTTCCAAGTAGCTGGAACTATAGGTGTGTGCCACCATAGTCAGCTAATTTTTTTATTTATTGTACAGACAAGGTCTCACCAAGTTGCCAAGGCTGGTCTCGAAACCCTGAACTCAGGCAATGCTCTTGCCTTGGCCTCCCAAAGTGCTGGGATTACAGGCTTGAGCCACTGTGTTTGGCCCGAGTATTTTTTTCATATGCTTACCTGCTATCTGCTTATCTTCTTTGGTGAAGTATCTATTCAGATATTTTGCCTTTAAAAATTTTTTAAACTTATTTATTTAATTTTTTTAGAGCCTGGATCTCAGTTTGTTACACAGGCTGGAGTGCAGTGGCATGATCATGGCTCACTGCAGCCTTGACCTTCTGGGCTCAAGCAATCCTCCCACCTTAGCCTCCCAAGTAGTTTGGACTACAGGCACTCAACATCATGCCCCACTAATTAAGAAAAAAAACTGTAGAGATGGGGGACTCGCATGTTGCCCAGTCTGGTCTCAAACTCCTGATCTCAAGCAATCCTCCAGCCTTAACCTTCTGAAGTGCTGGCGTTATAGATGTGAGCCACCGCACCCTGCTAACAAGGTTGAAAAATTGTTGAGTCTTGCCAGGTATGGTGGTACATGTCTGTAGTCCCAGTTACTCGGAGGCTGAGGCAGAAGGATTGCTTGAGCCCAGAAGGTGGAGTGAGCCCTGATGGTGCCCCTGCATTCCAACCTGGGCAATAGAAAGAGATGCTGATAAAGAAAGAAAGAGAGAAAGAGAGAAAGAGAGAAAGAGAGAAAGAGAGAAAGAGAGAGAGAGAGAGAGAGAGAGAGAGAGAGAGAGAGAGAGAGAGAGAGAGAAAGAAAGAAAGAAAGAAAGAAAATTGTTGAGTATTAAGAGTGTGTGGGCCTGTAATCCCAGCACTTTGGGAGGCCGAGGTGAATGGATTGCCTGAGCCCACAGGTTTGAGACCAGCCCAGGCAATTTGGTGAGACCTCGTCTCTATAATAAATAAAAAATTAGCAGGGTGTGGTAGCAGGCGCCTGTAGTTCTGGCTATTTGGAAAAGACTGAGGCGGAAGGATCGCCGGAGGCTAGCAAGTCAACATCGGGGTGGCCGTGAATGTGCCACTGCACTCCAGCCTGGGCAACGGAGTGAGACTCTTAACTCAAAAAAAAAAAAAAAAAAAAAAAGAGTGTGTGCATATGTATTTTGAATACAAGTTATTATTCAATATGTGAGTTACAAACATTTTCTTCTAGTGGGTGACATGTGTTTTCATTCTCTTAACAATGTTATTCATAGAGCAAATGTTTTTAATTTTAATAATGTGTTGAATCTAGAAACTTAACACCAGGCACAAGGTAACATAGATTTCCTCCTAATATTTTTCTTCTATCAAACTTTGGAAAACATCCAGCCCAATTATGGCACCCTGTTAGGAGTATCTTGTAGTTGGTCTGACTTCTCCTTGAGAAGAGGCCTTTTTCTCCTTAAAAAAAATCCACAGAAGCCGGGCTCGGTGGCTCAGCCTGTAATCCTGTGCCTTTGGGAGGATGAGGTGAGTGGATTACCTGAGCCTGTGGGTTCGAGACCCACCTGGGCAGCGAGACCTCATCTCTACAATAAATCAAAAAATCAGCTGGGCGTGGTAGCAGGTGCCTGTAGTTCCGGCTACTCGGAAGGCTGAGGTGGAAGGATCGCCGGAGCCCTGCTGGTGTAGGTTGCGGTGGCCGGGAGTGGCCACTGCACTCCAGTCTGGGCGACAGAAAAAAAAACAAAAAACAAAAATCCACAGAGACTGGACTTGGTGGCTCAGCCTGTAATTCCAGCACTTTGGGAAGCTGAGGTGGTGGATTGCCTGAGTCCGCGGTTCGAGACCAGCCCAGGCAACTTGGCGAGACCTTGTGTGTACAATCAATCAAAAATTAGCCAGGCACGGTAGTGCACACTT